GGAAGCCTATCTCCATTCACACAGGTAACTGAGCCCCAACACAGAGTTCATGCGCTTGTCCATGCGATTTTCATACAGAAAGTGGCAAATGGAATCTCAGGGCTGAGGCAAATACGTGTTTCTGTGATATGAGCTTTTAAACTCTGTTTCCCTAGAAATATGAGTTTATCCAAAATATTTAGTTCTATTTACGTGTTGTGGATTGATATGCAATTTGTCATCACATTTAGAGTAGATTTACCCCCGTCCTGTAATATAATTTTCTAGCATTTAAAAACACTGCTATCCAAAGTTAAGAGGAAAGAAAGCACCAAAAAAAAAAAAAGTCTCAGATGGTGCCACTGACTAAAATTGTAATAATGGGAATTGGTTAGTTCATTTGCAAAAATTCTGGTTCATTTAAGGGAATGACTAGTACTTTTCCATGAGTACTATTGTACTGTTGTTGGAAAATTAGGTTCATTCTTTCTTCCACAGGTGAATCAACTTTTTACCCTAAATTATTTATTGTCATTAGTTCCCATTTTTTAAAAAGTATTAAAATATTGCCCTTAAGTTGGCAGGATTTTTTCAGTTTAAAGATGTTATTTTTTTGAGAAACTTACTATCATTTTTAGTATTTACTATTTAATAAATGTTTGATAATAATGAACCTAAGAAATGCTTCATATTTGTTTATTGCTTCAAAGCTATATTTCCCAGACTTCAGCTAAAGCTGCATGTTACCTATATTATTATTCACTTAAATTTTTTCTTTAAATTCATTTATTAATTAATTTAGTCATCAAACAAATATTTATTGGACACATATGTACTAGACGCTATTCGAGCCACTTTTTAAGTTTAAATAACTTCTTTAGTCTTATCCTAAGATCTTATGTATGAAATCATAGATATGCTATTTGTATTTTTCTAACATAAATTTAGATGACTGTATAACTATTGAAAATATTTAAAGGTTTGTCCATATTCCACCTAAAATAATTTCACATTCCCTCAGTGGCACTTTGGGAAAGACTGCTTTGGTGTTCATAAAGCATGTTCATGTTCATGGTTTTTTTAGATCCTCTCAGTGACCCATAAAGATGTTCAGAATTATCCCTATTTCATAAATGACAGACCAGAAGCTTGGAGAAATGGCATTCCTAAGAACACAGATCACAGGCAGTTAAGCCAGGCCCCAGTCCCGGTCTTCTAACTCCACGCTTAACACTCTTTGCATTGTACTGTTCCCCTGCACCAGCACATTGTAGAAAGGAATGGGGAAGTGAAAAATGAAAAAAGGAGCTTGAGGTCAATGTCTTATCTCTGTTATGAAATCTGTGATATAGCTTGTGCTCCATCATTTGACCTTTGTGTGATGGCTTTACCTCAGCACTAAGTTGCAGCAAAGAATTCACAAAGACTAAAGGATTAAAGCCTGCAGGAATTTTTAGCATCATCTCTAGTGAACTGGCTCTATCATGGATCCAGGTTTTTCTAATATGTACTATACCTTACTTTAGAAGGTTGGTTTGGCTCTCTGAAAGATTTGTGTCTCCTTTGTCACAGACTTTAAGTTACTTCTGAGATACACAGGTGCCATGGTGCTGACCCCAAATCAAACTTATTTAAATTTTCAAATGTTTAATATGTGCTTTGTGAACAAAATAAGCAAATAAGCAACCAGAGACGCAGCCGTAAAACTTTTAGTCCTCCACTGTATAATAGTGTCTTACTTTATGAGTACATTTCTAAACCCACTGAACCAACTGTGAGACTATTTGTGCTGAAGAATTATTATATATAAAGAATTTGAATTAAAGAAGCATTTAAGGAATCAAAAAATATTAACATATGTGTATATTCAGACATGAGGTAATATGTGAACTATAAGTACGTATAATTCCAGGTATCTTTTTATAGTTCTTAAAAGACATATGTGTAAAGAGTTATACCATGATGGCCATTACTAATAGCATTATTAGTATCAGATGACACTATAATACTGAGATTATTATGAGTAAAAATAAATTATAAAGTTCTCTCCCAAATTCTCACGAAGATAGGAATTAAATAATTTATGGAACTCTTGGCTTGTGATGTACAAGAATGCAAGATTATAATTATAAAGTATTAAGTATCTTAAATTGCTCCTTCAGTGTAAATTTTATAAAAATATTTGTTTGTGTTTGACCTCTTTAACGTTACATTTATGTATTTGATTTCTTAGTCCTTTTTTGATTTGCAAGTTAGCTAAGTAATTTACAAGGGAATGTTCATTACATTATTAAATATGATTTCTACTTGACTAGAAATTGAATTTATTTTGTTCTTTGATACCATTTTTTGGGGGTATCTTTAAAGAATTTCTTGCATATTGTTCAAGTGTATTTCCCCCAAAACAACACACTCTTCATATATATTTATATTTTGTAATACAGTAAAGTATTAAAATTCTAAAACAAAATAAACTAAACATTTTCTTCCAGATATATATATATGATTTTGTCATACCAGAAATGCACAGTGGTGTATATCTTATATTTAGTTTCAGAAAGCAACATCATTGCTTTCTGTTTTGAGGTCACTGAATCCTTTATAAATAATATAGGTCATTGTGAGAGTACCTTAGAACCTTAGAGACAGATTTAAATGAAAAAAAATGGTAGAGAACTAGTTCAGAAAAATATAACTGGAAAATTATCTAAGCATAAAAAAATTTTGAAGATGAATTTGGGCAAGTTGTCATCTAAATTTCTGTAAAAATATAATTTAATTTTAAATAGTTTGACCTCATTTTTTGAGTGTGCCTGTGTGTGTATATTTTATATATGTGCGGGTAATTTTATATATATAAGCTTTATATATATAAAATGACAGTATATTTCAATGTATGTTGGAGCTGGTATAGTGGAGACAGGTTGAGTACTTTGGAGTCAGACCTGAGTTTCAAGTCTTGCCATGTTACTTAAACTCACTGAGTCCCGTCTGTAATACACAAATAATACTAGTTTGCAGTATTATCATATTAAATGATAAAACAGTGCCTTTACATTATAAATGCACAAGAAATGTTTTTACTGTCCCTTATTCCTTATTTAATTAAAAATAAAAATTGAAGACTTAAAAAAATAGTTTGACCTAACTTTGTTTTTTAAAATAAGACAAATGGGTAAGTTTTCGTTGCCATCTTGCTTTGTTTCCATGTGAATCTGCATTGTGTGGCCTGATCAACACCTTCTGAGATCTCTCACTGCACCAGTTTGTGTCTGATAGAACTTTATGTTATAGGACAGCTTTCTTCCTACTGCCAAGAAGGTCATTTAAATATAAGTGGAATTAGTTATTGATTACATAAATGTAATGTGCAAAACATCTTTTATAGTCCCTTCATGTTAGTGAATACGTGATGGAAATGCATTTCTAACAAGAAATGTGAAAATGTATCCAGGCACTTTTTTTTTTTAACAAAACATGGATACATTCAGCTTACTTAAGCTTTTCTAGTCATCCCTATAGCCCAATAGGACACTTTTTTTTCATGCGAAGTATTACTGGAACAAAGTTGTCTCTTGTTCTAGCACACAATGAATCAGGGATCTCCAACGAACATGTGTGTGTATGATATTTGGATTCTTTAGGATGAAATACAAAAATATGAGAAGGTCGAACCAGTAAAGGTAATAACTTTAAAAAATATATATGAAAAGGAAAAAATTTCCATTCTTTGACTATTTTTCTTATTGAAGAATTAGAAATGTTTGTTTTCAGACTCAATAATGGAAACCCTTTGTTAATTCTCACTGTATACTAGATTTGAAGGGGTCATAGAGAAATTGTGTATAAATGATATTCATGAGTCAGTCATGAAGATATATAAAGACAAAAGTTGATAATAATTTCTTTGCTCTTACCCGTGAGGCATTTTGATGAACACTGAAATTTTATATAAAAGTGGCTGAGGGTTGGGGACAAACTGGGAGAAGGGTCCTTGCCTTAAAGCTGTGTTTACACAGCAAGCAACACTGTTTTTCCTTAAAAAATTCTTTACAGATCAATAAAAATAGGAATGTTTTTCCTAAAGGTGTTTTTAATCACAAGTCTTATACGAGTTTTCCTATATTAATTGATTTTCTTGAGGGGAGTGACTTCGAGGACCATGATAGAAATTACTGGAGGCTGGGGGTGGCAAAAGCTGCACCCCTCCCCCACAACACACACTCACAAATTCCCCAGCCACACTTGGTGGCCAAACTCTGTTGGGATGGCAAACTCCACACAGACTGACGATGACAAAGCAGGACAGGACGGAGGACACCCTGATAGGTATAGCAACACCCTCTTCCCACATCAGGACGGGCTATGCACGGCCTGCTGCCCCACTTGCTTTGTGGCCTCTGCAGAGCCAAATGCCTGCTGGATCATGACAGCTATGCTAGGTTAAGTGTTCAACCCTTATCACATTTTAATTCTCACAGCAATTCTAGCAGGAAGGTAGGTATTATTGTCCTCATTTTACAGAGGAGGAAACTGAGGCTCAGAAAATGTTAAGTATTTTACTCATGCTAGAAAGTGAAGAGGTAGGATTCGAACTCTGATCCGTTGCCTCCAAAGCCCACCCCCTTCACTGACCATCACTATCCGTCTTCCTTTGACAGGATACTACAGATTTGCAGTTGCTGAGCAGCAGGCAGTGAAGAAAGTGAGCCAGGATCTCTGATTTATATGATTTTGTGAATTGAAGGTTGTTGAAATTCCAGGTTTTATCTCCAAAACGTTATTTTCAAAATGTTGACTATTTCAAAGCCAAACAGTCTTTCCTTTGCACTGATGTCACAGGCTGGAGCCACAGAATCAGCCTCTAATGATTGAGCAAGAACAGAACATTTGACAGGGAAGTGAAGGTTAAAGCTCCCCTCCTCCCGGTGCATCTCCTACTTGTACAGCAGCAAAGTAAAAACCGTGTTTAACAATTGCAGGTCTGGGTAATGTGGTTTGGTCTTCATACCTTCACTCAGGTGGAGCCCGAGAAGTTGAAGACACTAACAGAAGGTTTGGAAGCCTACAGCCGAGTCCGGAAAAGAAACAGAAAGTAAGCAGTTATTTTTCCCATTTTATTTTTCAAGGATATAATTTACTGGTTTTCCTTCAAAGGGACAATGAAATCTCACTGATTTTGCTGATTCTGTCCCTGTTGTGGGCTGCCTGAGTACTGTTTAATAGTTATCACCAAAGAGGACCATTATAGATAACGCAAATTAGCTATTACAGGAAACATTGTCTTAACAGTTTATGTTTACACTGTGTGTTGGATTTATCTCTTCATCAGCTCTTTCTTAACTCCCTCCATCTCTCTTCCTCTCATTTAGTGGGAGAGAAAAATGATTAATATTCTCAACATGTGGCAATTAAGTAGGATCTGGAAGTGTAGTGAGTCTATCCATTTGCACTTAAATACTTTGGTGGTGATATACCCCCAGTTGCACACATGTAAATAATTTTGGCAGAGTAACTGTTAGTCAAAGTCATGCTAAGTAATGATTTTTGTCGTTGCAGCAGGGGCATGGACTTGAAAATAGGTTTTATTTTTTGGAAAAACTTTGGGCCATTTTTATTCAAGTTTTTCTGGATCTTTATTTTCTGAGTAAATATAGTATGGAAAAGCCGATAATATTAGAAACATAATTTTTGCTGTTATAAATGTAGTTTTATATATCATAACTATTATTTAATAATAAGGTAAGAGAATTACAAATGTGCTTCTGTATATCTACATAGGAAGTTATTTTAAAATATATAATTGACATACCTATTTAGTTACTACAATTTCCATATTAGCAAACAACCAAGAATTAAATATTAATTAATTTTTATTCATTTGGAAAATGGTTCTCACATTTCCTCTCAAATATTGACACATAGGCTTAATGTTCTATACATTATCATCTTTTTAAAAATGTCACTTTAACTTATATTTGTACGTCAAGATTTATAAAGTGGAGATCAGAATGATTAGTAGTGTATCTTGCATAAAAGGCTTATAAGATGATATTAGTAATATCTGTTAAAGGCATTCTCTTTCCCTTTGTGCTGTTTCCAGTAAGTCTTGCCAGAGGCCAAATTTTAGAAATCAACAAATCTTGGGAAGAGTCCTCACCTCAATAAAATGTCTCAAAAAGAGATGGCAACCACAGGGGGCAAACTCCTGTGCCCCTATGTCCAGGACTCCTTTGGGAGGTAGCAAATTGGCACTGGCATTGTGGCAAGGGCCCAGTGAATTGTCAGACAACTTCTGTCTAGATCTGATAAGTAACACAGTGAGCAAGTCCCTTCTACTCCTACTGAAGTGACATTTGTGATGCTGACCTAAGTAACAGGATAAAACCAGTAAAATTAATACAAGGTCTGGATGAAAGGAAGAAAGTTGCAAATTACCTACATCACAAATTTGTAGAGGGTCAGTTGCTGTAGAATACTCAGCAGTTCCCATTTTTTTGATGTAAAAGATCCCTAACATGTTTCTTTCTCTGAAGTATGCCAGTTACTTGGATTACGTGCAAAACAGAGGTGATAACACAGAAATAAAATGACTTCTCCAAATATTTAGGTACCCTGCCTTGAAATGAGCTCTATTTCTCCTATATACTTGCTATTAAGCAATTTCTGAAAGATAATGAGTAGCAAACCACAATTTTAAAATATTTTTCGTCAAAGCCAATTTATTATTTGTGGTGAATTAAGGTGGTCGCTATCTAAATCAATTCTCCTCATGATAACCATAAACTTAGAGTAAGGATTGGAGAAGTAAAAGAAGAAAAGATGAAGCAAACATTAGTAAAGACAGCTTTATTTACCATACTCTTGGCTAAGCAGACTGACTTGCCATGTAGACGCCCAGTAGAATGCTTTACATTTTGCACATGTGATTTCAAATACATTGTTTTATTTTCCCTATCCAAGACGGACCAGAATGACTTAGACCATTTACAGATGAGGACACTCATACCCAAATAGCTTAAATAATTTGTTGAAAGTCACATAACTGATAAATGATATGCTGAACCAAATCATTTTTTAATTTATTCATTTGTAATCAATTTAAGGAGACTAATTTAGCAAAAAAAAATCTGTGCCAGGCACAGTGCCATAGTCCCTGGAGCTCACTATTTAGTGAAAGAGACAGATCCAGAAGCAAATAATTAAAATGTGAAAATTGCAGTGACAGCTCTGTGTGTGTGAGAGTGTGTGTGTGTGTGTGTGTGTGTGTGTGTGTGTGCAGTGCATTTGGGGATCGTAGAGAAATGAAATGGCATTAAACCCAGGTAAAGCAAGGGTTCCCAGAGGAGATGATATCTGAGCCAAGCCTTACACGCTACATAGGTACTAGCCACAAAGCCCCAGATGAGGTGGGGTGGCATAGTGTTTAGATGAGATCAGCAGTTGGGTTGGATGGACTGTAAAGTATCAGATAGGGAGTTGTGAGAGATGTGGCCAGAGGTGTAAGCAGGAAGCAGATCATGACAGGTCTAGTAAGGGCCAACAGGATCCTTTATTTTAAGGGAGTGCCTAAAGAGGCTGGGGGTTGGGTTTTCACCTTAGGTATGGCTGCATTTTAAGGGAACGGTATTGGAGACGGGGAGATCATTTAGGGGCCATGGCAGAAGACAAGGGAGGATGAGGACCCAAACCAAGAGAGGGCAATGAAGATGGAAGAGAAGGAATGTGGTCAAGAAATACACAGGAGGTCAAAGTGACAGAACATGATAATTGATCAGAATGTAAAGGACAGGGAACAACCAAGGACAACTCTGAGGTTTTTAGCTCGAGTGACTTGGTGGGTGGTAGAAGCTCTGACTGAAAAGAGAATACATGGGGGACTGTTGAGTGCAGCTTGGGGTGCCTGTGGGATAGGTTGGACACAAGTCTGAAACTGGGAAGAAGTGATATTCAACAGTGTACAAATGGCTGCAGTCACACAGAGATACTTTGACCAATTTGAAGAACAGTGGGCTAAGGATTGAATGCTGGGATAATTGAACATTTAATAGAGAGAACGAAGAAGATGGGAAGAAAGGTTTTTGATGTCAAGACTGAAAATTTCCTGGATGATAAAATGACCAACAGAGATCCAGTAAGATAAGAATTGAAAAATCTCCATTGGACTGGGCAATTTGCGGGCCACCAGTGACCTTAGTGAGAACAGTTTCCAGTAGAGTGGAGGGTAGACAACGTGGCCATGGTTTGAAGAGTGATTAAAAATAAGGAAGTAGAGAGAGGTGATATAGATTATTTACTCTTCTTTCTACCCTCCATGTGAAAATTTCCTAAAAAATAACAATGGAAGAATTTTGAGATGACAAAGATTTGACTGCTTTTACTGAGGGGAAGAAGAAAAGAGGAAAAGGCTGAAAAAGGAAGGTGGCATTTGGAATGAGATGATTAAGAGGTTGGTTTTTGGCCAGGTGCGGTGGCACCTAGCATTTTGGCAGGCCAAGGTTGGAGGATCTCTTGAGGGAGGGAGTTCAAGACCAGCCTGGGCAATATAGCAAGACCCCATCTCTTCAGAAAATAAAAAAAGAAAAATTAGCAAGTGTGGAGGTGCATGCCTATAGTCCTAGCTACTCTAGTGGTTGAGCCAGGAAGATCGCTTGAGCCCAGGAGTTTGAGGTTGCAATAGGCTATGATCATGCCACTACACTCTAGCCCGGGCTACAGAGCAAGATCCTGTCTCAAAAAAAAAAAAGAAAGAAATTGTTTTTTGACCTGGGTTCACATCCTGTTTTTACCACCTCATAGCTGTGTGTCTTTGGGTATGTTGCTTAATTTTTCTGAGCATAAATTCTTCATTTCTAAAATAGGCATAATAATTCCTACTTTAGGATCGTTATAGATAACAGAGAGAATGCCTTAACACAGTACTTGGCACATGGTATTTAGTAAATAGCCATTTTTACTATAAAGATACCGGTGAAAGAAACAAAATTATCTCATTTTTTGCCAGTTGAAACATTCTACCACCAAATTAGATATTTCAAATTTTATGTAGTCATATTAATCCTCAATATCCTCAAACTGTACAGTAAATAAATATCTTTAAATTGATGTTCTAATTACATCCTAATCACATAAGAAATATTAACATATTTAACACATTACTTAGGGTAATTTATACTTAAAAGCAAAATAGCTTTACTAAAAGAAAAAATTCATAACTTTTAGATATGTTATGATTTCCATGTAAGTGAGGATCAAATCTTCTGTCTATATGTACATATAAATTTCTTTGGAAACCTGATTTTTTATGACTCTGGAAATTGATAAAGAGATTCCTTAAATCATACTTTCACTTTAAAACCAAGAATGATACTTAGCATGTTAAATTTTCTTAAATCTGCATACTTTCTCTATATTGGGTTCTTGTGTAGGGTTCTTGATTTTTAGGTCTCATTCAAATTTGTTCTGTTCTACATGAAGTGAGTCACTTGAATTCTAAATTGACAGTGTGAACAAAATGCAGTTTCTCATTTCCCTCTTATTCCTTGTACCATTCATAGATGCGTACCTGTTTTTTTTTTTTAATCAGTGACGATAAGGATGATGTGTGACAATATAGGCAATGAAGATGAGAAGTAGCAATTATCTCCATTAATAATTAGACACGTGATTATATAAACATCTATTGCTTAATCAAGTAGGGTTTAGAGTGTCCATTAGTAAAAATGTTTATCATTAAATGTCAGCAGGGAATAGAAAATAGTAGAAGAAACTCCACAGGGAGGCCCTCTGGACTAGAAGACTGAATTTTGACTAATTGTTCATTTCTTGAACTCATGGAGCTTTTTCTTCCTCTTTTAAGTTCATCCTTCCCTGACCTGACTAGTTACTGTAAAAATTGATCTACAGATTTGAAACCAGGGAGAGTCTCTTTACCTCTTGATCTCATGATATATACAAATAATTTCATGCCTCACATCTATTTATTTATCCTCTCTTCCAGAAGTAGTCATTTCTCCCTCTATTAACTATTTAAATTTGTTAAAACACTCTAGTAATTTAGCTTAAATTAATGTAAGGTGTTTACAAATATTTTAAATGTGTTGAAGAATGAGATGACAAAACTCCTACAATTCTATCTTTTCCTTGAACAAATAATGTTGTTGAATCTTTTTTTTTCTGTCACGCAGGCTAGAGTGCAGTGGCGTCATCTTAGCTCACTGCAGCCTCAAACTCCTGAGCTCAAGTGATCCTCCTGTCTCAGCCTCCTGAGTAACTGGGACCCAGGCCTGGCTAATTTTTTCTACTTTTAGTAGAGACAGGGTCTTGCTCTTGCTCAGGCTGGTCTCAGACTCCAGACCTCGAGCAATCTTCCCTCCTTGGCCTCCCGGAGTGCTAGTATTACAGGCATGAGCCACTGCACCTGACCATCAATCATTTTTTTACTTTGATGGTAGTGTTATTGCACTTTTGTACAGTTAGGTAAAAATTTTGAAACATTGTGATTTCTTTTTAGATATTTAGAACTTTAGTCAATTTTAAACTCATAAGGTCTTATCATCAAAATACATAACAAATATCTTTTAAAACTTATGTTCATACTTCTCAATGCAAAAGAAATAGTAGGGAGAAATCTAGTTAACACATTACACAAAGTGTGATATTGTTGGGCAACTCAGCAGTGATGATACAGTCAGGACCCTCGCCAAGCAGCCCACAAAATGGGCCCCAGCCCAACCTCAGTGAAACTTAGATGGCCCTGCAGAGTCCTGGGACTGGATTCCTACCCAGTCACCCAGGGTCTTGCTTAGCAGACTCCTCACTGGGAAAACAACTCAGACTCCCCAGGGCTCCTTAAAACTGGAATGGGTAAATAAAGACAGCATATATATGATGAAATACTTACTATATACCATTTAGAAGGAATGAATACAGTATATCAACTAGGACACTGTTCAAAAACAGTGGTAAGGGAAAAAAGACAAGTATGTATATCATGAAGCCTTTTGTGTACATATATATAAAAACACATAAAACAATACTAGGTCCTGTTATGGAGATATCATATAAAATGTAAAAACAGACTAGAAGTTGGGGAGGAGGGTGGGAGAGAATGGGACAGGAGATTGATAACAAATGGGAACTACAGCTTGATTTTTTTAAATAAAAAAGGCTTAAAGGAAATATGTAATTTATTAACATTTTATCCTGGGAAGTGGGATGTTAGATTTTATTTTATTCTATGTACTTCTCTGTATTTTTACACTTCTAAAAGTAAATGGGATAAATATGAAATCTAGAGGCTAGCTTACAAGGCCTGAAAAAGTGAGGGGAAGGGGGTTGGTGCCATATTACCCTTATAATTTGTTTAAAATCAATACGCTAATCTTTCCTTTCAGTTAAACTAACTGATGTACATGTATGTTTTTCAAAACCTAGGACCATCCATGCCAGCTTTGGACAAATATTTTTATTTAGCAAATATGTAGAGCAACTATGGTATGTCTAGTAGTGTAAGTACTCAGGAGTGGAAAACTCAGAGTTCTCTAAAGGTGTAGACAGAAACTAAATGTAGGAATTATCCCATCCTGGTGCATGAGAATAAGACCTAGTGAAGGCTGTGAGGAACCGAAAGGCCCTGTCTAAAGGCGTTCCACTAAAGTTCAAAAATGTTTTTAAACACTGTGCTAGCCAAACTAATTGAAACTATGAGCCAAGTTCTCCTACAACTGCAAATTTCCAAGCTCCATGTAGATGCGGAGATAGGACTTAACTCTTAGGAAACCATGCTCATAGCCTGTTATACAAACGTTTGCTCCTTCAGCTTTTCTAGTAATTGTCCTGACAGCGTAAGTGAAATGAATCACCTTCGTACTCAGAATAATTGGGTAATTATTTATATGCGCAACGGAGGAAAAACAAGTTAACAGTTGGGATGGGCAAAGGGTACATAACCACAGATGTGGAAAGGGTAGATTTGTCTGATTTTAGTTCACCAGCTTCATAGATGTAAGTTTCAAAAGTGGCAGATGTACCCTGTGTGTAATTTAGGCCAAACAAACGCGATGGAATGCTAAGTGGTGAGGAAAGGTCAGAGAAGAGACCCTGAGACCGGCATTCTTTATCTGTTCAAATAGTCATGTCATTTTGGTGTTTGGGGAAATGTGGTAGGGGCCAGGCTCGGAGCCTCAGGTGCGGTGAATTAAGCTGTTGCCCACCTAGAACTTGCACCAGGATTTCAGCCTTCACTTGCTCCACTGCCGAGCCGAGACGCTCCAGAGAGGGCAGAGAGAGCTCCCTAGTGGCCGGAGCCTGCAGTTCAGCCCTCCGCCCTTCCCCTGGCCGCGCAGCCCGGCGGAGACAAGAGGCAACGCAATGCAGGGCAGGCTGCACCGGTGGGAAGGTGGGCCCCAGGCCCAGCTTTCTTCCCAAATCACCAGGTTATGGAAGAAACATGTGGAAGAGGAAAGAATCCATCTCCCCATCCCCCAATCTGTTCATTTTTGCATTTTAGTAGTTCTGTGACTTTAATCATTAGTATTCAGTGGTGAAAATCCTGGAGTGATGTTTTGTCATCTGAATTTTCCAAATGCGAATATAAATTGGCTTTCTCTGGTGGAATTGGTACTTTTGTTTTCTGATTAGGGAATTAAATTGAGATTTTTGTTTCTTTAATTTATTAATCGAGTGTGTTGTTTTCATTAATTCCAGAAGTGGAAAGCTAAATAACCATTTAGAAGCTGCTATTCATGAGGCCATGAGTGAACTGGACAAAATGTCTGGGACTGTAAGTTAATTTATTTTTCCATTATACTGTGTTTCTTTGAAAATAAATTGTATTACACTTTTTGGTAAAGTCTCTTGAATATTGTCAAGCAACTCACGTAGCGATACTAAATTACTAAGGTAGAAAAAAAAGATTAATATCAGAAAAGATTCAAAGTCATTTAAGAAAACATAACCTAGCAGTATTAACTATGTCTTTTTTCGGAGATAAGTAACTTTTGTTCTTCCACATAACATTCTTTTGAAAGGTGAGCAGCAAAATATTGAAGTTCAAACCACAGCTTTCTGCATTTGACTCTGGGAAAAGCAGTGGCCATTACTGTTGCCTATACAGTAATGTAAATTTCACTCTGTCGATTGAACAAAAAAGTGAAATTAAACAGTAGGGTCAAGATCAAGAGCATATAGACCTCTCATTTCCCATTTTTATTGAACTTGCATATATTAATAACAGCATTAAATGTGAGAAGTTTAATCATTATCCTCTAATTCACATATTGGCTGATGCAGACACTCAAAATAATTTTGGTAATCTCTTAAATAACATGAATTATCTAAGGCTATTTAGTAATGAAAAATAATTTTTTCATTTGACACTTTGTGTTACAAGATTATCTGAATCCCAACAATCCATCCAATGGCAATTGAATGATAGATATAAGTCATAGATTCACAGAATGTTGGGATTGGTATGGGCTTTAGAGATTTTGTAATCCAACCTACCATTTCACAGATGGGTGAAATGAAGCCCTGAGACGTTAAATTTCCTGAAAAAATTATAAGAAAAGTCTAGATCGGGGATGGATTATAAACTCAAATGTCTTCTAGGGCCAGGTAAATAAGATCAATAAGTAAAGTGGATCAGGTATGAGAAAAACAGCGATTCGACTGGACTGAGAAATGCCAATGAAAATGCACGGGCTAGGGCAGGCTACCAGTCTCATAGGCTCAACTTGAGTCTGGTGCTGGTTGGGGAAGGAGTTGCTTTACACAGTCATTCAGGAGCCCAGATTGTTTCTATATCTAGTGTCCACCCTTCCTTAGGACCTCAGAGTGCTCCATTATACCCTTTGCGTTCAGCCCAGCAGGTGAAAGAAAAAAGTGTGTGCAGAAGAGTGGGAGCATAGGTTTTATGCACCAGGCCTGGAAGCTTTTTACTTTTGTTGACTTTCTGCTGGCCTGACCCCATCACTTGGCCTCCTTAATTCAAGTGGACTAGAAAATATAGTATAGAATGTGCCCGCCCAGGAAAAAAGAGAAAAAGGGGTTGGCAATCATCTTGCTAGTCTCTGCCTCAGGACATTTGGCCTTTGTGGCCAGCAGGCAGTCAAGAGTGATAAAGAACTCAGCAACCTGGGGGGCAGGGGTGCATGCTCTCTCCAGGAGTTTCTTCTTCCATGCTCCAGCAGATCTTAGACATGTGGGAAATTGTGCTGGTGTTGCAAGATCCTCCCATTTTTCATGAGAAGATAGAAGTCCGAAGGTAAAATTTCTCATTTTTAGGTGTTGACAACTATTCTTTAAAATATGAAAATGCCATATGGCTAAACAAAGTGCCTTTTCAGGCCACATTTGGTCTACAGATTACTAGTTTGCAGTCTCGGATAAAAGACTTCTTTCCTTAATTACAAAAAGTTAAGTTATGGCTCTTTACCAGAGACTAGTGGGTTTAAAAAATGTATATAGAGAGGATTAGGAGTAATAGGCAACTTGAGAAACTCATAAACATTATTTTAAATTTTTAAATGTTATTTTTTAAAAGAATTCTGCATTTGACTCTGAGTATCATTGGCCTTTGCTGTTGTCTAAACATTATTTTTAAAACATATAATTGAGCAAACTCATAGTGGGTCTTGAAAGCTGATTGTGCACATCTCTTCCTAACTCTAAATCTGTCATATCAGGTGGGTAGCTTGAAATTGGCTATAGTGAAAGTATTTACACCACGGAAATTGGCAAATGGGTGTGTGTCTAAACGCTGATGAAGCATTCGCTATACCACTGCCTTATGCCCAGCCTGCCTTTCCTGGGTCTTGGGCCTTCTTGCTCCCTCCCATCGGTGGCCACAATACAATGTGAGGCTCCTGATCACACCTCCCTGCCACCCTTCAAAACTGTACCTGTGAGCTAATGCTCTGATACTGCTCAATCCCTGTTCAGTCTGATGAACAGCACTTAATGCTACTAGTTCCTGAATTAGTATATAAGGATGAGTTGTATTAATTGCTCTTCCCAGACTATACAAGCACAGATCTGCCAACAGATGATAGTGGTATGCTGTTAATATTTTCCTTTCTGGTTCGTCTCATGAGCAGACATCCTTGGGCTGAGCTATGTGTGCATGTTCTTACAATCTTTGACCCATCTTAGTAGTTGTAAAATAAGTAGGGTGGTAAAGTAAAAAAAAAAAAAAAACATGTTTGGTATGTATTTATCCACTTTTCCAGGCTACAGTGAAATTGGTGATCTAGGGATCTCTGACAGGCAGGGCTTTACTTTTGTTTCAAATGCACAGTGAGGATGGCAACTACACGTTACATTTCCCACACTCGATTGTTTCCAGTTCATCCTTTGTGTTGCACTGTTTATTAGAGAACCCAGAGGGTTGCTTTGCTTATCATTTTCTAGTATTCCTCATTCTTTGTAGTGACACTGAGATGTGGGGTCTTGGTAAAAATGTTAAATGCCTCAGGATATCAATAATTGAAAGCAAAAGCCGGAGTCTGTTCCCTACCCTGTTCTTTGTCAGAAATCATACGGTATTTGCAATTTCAACCTCTGTAGTTGTTTTTTTCCACCTTTTTATTTCCAGGTACACCAAATCCCACAAGGAGACAGACAAATGAGACCCCCCAAACCCAAGAGGAGGAAGATCTCCAGATAACAGAGACTACTCCAATAATGCGCAGTGTTTATCAAAGGAACATGCACAGATGTATCTGTATATAGGTATTGATATAGCACTGTTATATCAATATTTACACTATGGCAGATAGCTACCACCACCACAGGGTGCTAAAAGAACAGTGATAGAAAATTTTTGATCAGGAAGGATAATGAATGTTGGAAAAACCAATCAAAATCCCTGTATGATGAGAGTGATAAATGGTCCAGAGATTACTGAGAAACTTTTTTTCTATAATACTAAAATTGTGATTATAAGAAATAGTCCAAATGTTTCTGAAGACTTTTCAATGTTGTATATAGAAAATACAGAATTTCATGGTGATATCAGAAATGTAAATATTGTACAATATTGTCATGTACAAGCGTACCTAATGCACACTTTATCTTTTATTGTACAAAGAAATAGTGTACAAAATTCTTTGGTTTCTATGGAGTACACCTACCAGAGACTACCAGTGTAAAGTGATAAATAAAAATACAATCTAAATGCTTTTCTATGATAATGTAAAAGATGCTGTTTTTGTATTTAACAGCAGAGAAAAGGCATGAAGATGTAATATCTGAATTATGACATACACTGAGCACCCCTGAGTATCCATTTATATTGTTTGTTTGGAATGAACCTTGCCTGGAAGCACTGGAGTCAATTTTGGGTGTCTAGGAAATTGCAACCTTGAGGATTTCTAAAGGGATGAGGGCTCACAGGTCTAAATTAAGAATTCAGAAACTGCAACCATTTGTTGCATATTTTTTTTACCTAAGTTTTAAAATAGAATAGGTTTTATAAAAAAAATCTTAGATGGAATATTTTACTCAGCCATTTCTGTAGTTAACATTTGATAGCCACCTGTTGAACCAGATAGCTTCTATTGCACCAACACTGGTATTCGGGCAAAAGCCTCACTATGAAACCATTATCAGAGGTAAGGTTGATTATAATTCAGTTTTTTTGTAGTAGCAAAACTAAACACAAATCACGAAAGCAAGTTTCATATCCATTCTTCAGTGTTACTTAACCCAGAAGTTAAGGTGGCTTACAAAATTATTAGCAATGGTAATTTTTTATCAGTATTGTGTAACATATCAGATTTATTATATTTAAAGAATTATTTATACCATTAACAGATTCTTATATATATTAATGTGGCTGAAATGTGCAGGTTAAATCTATTAACCAAATTATTTATATTATATTAAGTAAGAAAAAAATGTGAAACAAATGTAGAGAGAAAATACTACATTACAAGTATACAAACCTAAAACTGTGAGCCATTGTAAAGTACAAGGTAATTAATAAGAAATGTAGCACAACATAATTTTCCGTCTTTTTTTCACAATTTTTGTGGTGGTGGTATAACCTGATCTTCCAGGCAGTGAAGCGAAGTTTCAGGCCTCCAGCCTGGCTTCAGTTGATGGATTGTCAAAAAAAGGGATCCATTATCCCTTAATTTTTGGAACCGCCAGTTCCCCAGCCTCCACCCCAAACCCGTAAACCTCTGAAGGGCACTGCCTTGTCCTCTCGCCTGGGGTTCACGCAACAGCCTAATGCCCAGGCTGCTGGGAGGTTCTCCAGTAGCAGACTCTGGACCCCCAAATGCCCACCACCTCCCCTACTCCTCCTCTCCCACCTACCCCCCAAGCTCCTCAGTCCTGTCATGTAGCAGAGTTCCAGTAACTCAGGAAAAAGGAGACCAAGGTCATTCCTCGAGTTGGTTTCTTGGGGCCACAGCACAGAGCATGCCACCTGGGCTCACTTTTGATAGCAACAGCTCTTAGTTATTCCCTTAGGTCTCCTGTGTCTCGCTGTCCCTTCTGTTCCCACCCTCACCCCTACCCCCCACCCTGATGGAATACAACAGGCCACCCTGGGCTTCATGGCCTGGAAATGGGAACCTTTCCTTCAGGGGGTGGGTTCATTTGTCTTTCTTGTAATGGGGATTGCCTGCCCAGTCCTTCATGTAGTTACACGAAGTCATCTTTTGTGTAGTTTAGTTGACATATTTTTGTTACAAGTTGATGTGTTCGGTATATTTAAACCATTAATGTCCATTTCTTTTGCACCAAACTGCTTTTCTACTGTTTCTTCAACACAGTTGTGTTTATTCACACAGACGTATATATGTACGTTGGATGTGTCCGCGTGTGTGTGTATGTGTGTATGTATGTTGATGTGCAGATTTTTTTTTAGCCTTTACTTTTCTGTCTTCAGACTGGGTTTGTGTTGACCAAGCCTTCTTTTTGATATTTTGAGCTAATTCGGTTTGTGCTTCCCCAACACAGTATACTTTACATCAGTAGACCATGTAAAGTATGTTCGTGCCCATGATTTCACTGGTTGCTTATGGCTTTGATGTGGGTGCTAGGTGTAGTTGTTTCAGTCCACATGGGGTTTTTTTTCTCCTCTCTTAGAGTTGTATGGTTTCATGTAAGCAGTTAATGTAAATATTGTTAGCATTACAGGTCATGGAATGCTGTAACATTTTTTTAAAATGTTGCACCTACATTACAATTAAAAATTGGTCACTCACACTTCAATTTTGCCCATAGAGCCATTTCTTTCTCTTTGTATTGAAGCCAATTCATTTTTTTTCAAAACGAAGGCTAGCCCTTCTATGTTAGTAAATTTTTTATTCCCTAGAATAAACCTTTTTAAAAAGCAAATCCAAGAAAGGAAACAGAATGAAAAATTTTTGCTTCTTTAAATAATATAATAGTCTCTCTGCTGGAAAAGTAAATCTGATTTTATTTTGTGTCCCTTAACAATCCTAGGAAGCACAAGGAGAATAAACTACACCTCCAAGTAGTCTTTAAAGATTATTTCCAATGATTGAAAATTAATTAAGCAGCTTTTGTGTGATTTGTCATGTTCGTAGCATTAAAAGCAATCCAGGGTTTTTACTTATTTAAAGGAACATTTTTGGTTTGTACTTTTCTGTACCATTATGTATGAAAATGCTTTAAGAAGAACATTCATCCCTTGTGATATCATGGGCCACTTTTAGTCTTTTATTTGGACCCTAACTTTGAGTTTTTGCCATGTCTGTTTTTTAAGTAAACACAGCCTTCTTATTTGAACATAACACAGTAGAATTGTGGGAGGAGCAGAAGGCGGTTATTTCACTTTCTGTAAGTTTTATGAAGATTCTCGTATCCAATGAGGTGATTCCTTTTTCATTACAGACCGTGATAGCACATCGTTGTTAACTTTGGTAATCTTCCATGCAGTTTGCAGTGTTCCCTTGCAAGACACAAGCATGTTTGCATTAAGATTTTAAAATCCAAGATGCTTAGGATGTTTGTGGCATTGCTCTTTCTGATAAGAAAGCCAAGATACTAGACCTTATCCAAAATCTGATATCTTGTTTACTTTGCCCATTTATGCCTAAATGGTGTAATGTAAGACTTAAGACTTTTCAATGCAGTATATGAGTAGTACATTACTTGATTCATTTGGGAGACATGAAAAAAAAATTTCAACCAGCCAGAACTGTAATATTGAGATAGTTTATCTTTTTCTTTCATTCACTCTATCACATTTGCATTAGCCAAAGAGATAAGAACATTAGTAATTCATATGTGTAAACAACCCAGAAATGAATATTAAATCAGTGAGCCAAAAAGCAATAAACAACTCAAGCATGGGAAATCCTGCTAACAGTGGGGAGTCTGATACAGAAAAAATATATAAAAAGCATTATCTTCAAATATGAAAGATTAATTTGTATCTACTGTAAATATGTATTATCAGCCTTATCTGCATTTATACACACTGTGTGTGTACCTCAGTGACCTTTTATAAACCGGAAAAATGGTTGATTTAATAATTTGTTATGTAAATACAAAGTTGTCTATAAATTGGAAAATTTGATGCCAGATGGCTTCATAATATACAAATGTGTTTTGTAACATCATGCCTTTATGGATTAAGTATAAATACACTTGATTGTCTATGTAGAAGAGTAGCAGTTTACATTTCACCTGCATTTCAAATGGATGTTTTGTCTAAATGGTTATACTATTAGGAAAAGAAAATAACTTGAACATTTTCAATGTGAAAAACAAATATGGTTTTGATTTCACCAAAACTCCTTTTCATGCCCAAGAATCTGTTCAATTCCATGCTAAATGCTTTGCATTGTAAGATTTCCATAGGAGATGTTGATCCACAACAGGGATATACCTGGGAAAACTCCCCAAACTTAATTATTCTTCTTGAGAGACAGGCCGCACATCTTTCTTTCTAATATTAGGCGAGGGCCCTAGCCTTCTTATTGCTTTTTCACTTGTTGTGTTCTTTGTTTCCCCATGTCTTGGAAAGTATCACACCGATAAATAGGGCTTAGTTTTTGTGAGCCAAGGTGGCTACAGAGTGTTACCTCAACCTTGGGCTATTGACTTGGATAACCAGGCCTTCTCAACCTTGGAAATATTTACATTTTGGGCCAGATCACTTTTGTCATGGAGGCTGTCCTGTACATTATAGGATATTTGGCAGCATCCCGGGCCTCTACCCACTAGATGCCAGTAGCACCCCCTTCCCAAATAATGACAATCAAAAATGACTCCAGACATTAACCATGGGGTGAATGGTGACAGTGGGGACAAAGTGGGATTTGAAAACCACTGCCTTAATGGAATCAAGTATGGAGCATATGTCTGTGCGAAATATGGGCATATTTGCCGCTATAATCAACAGGAAACTGATTCCTAGAAGCGGCCAAAATCTATGCCAAAGGAGTGCTTCTCAGTCCATGGCTAAGGAAGTAAATACATTAGTGTCAGCTTCACTTTGAACACATTTGACACTTTTGATTGTAAAACCAGGGCAATCATGTTTTGAGAACTCCCAGGTAGTGGCTTAGTAGAGTTACCAGAATTCTTGTGGCTCAGAATTTGCGAGAAGACTGACAGCTCACTTTGGGTGATACAAGGAGCGTTAGGCAGCGGAAGGCTTCCAGATGATAGTGTAGCTGCCTCCATTGGGTCCAGATGAGGAATTTGACTAAGGGGACCATGTTATGTATCTATTTCCACAGCTTTCTATAGCAGCCTGGTTCAGGTATCAGATGTTTCTGTGTGTGATCCTTTTATAAGTTCTGACAGAAGCAGTTCAGTAAATCTTGGAGATATCATTGATATATTTATTCATAGGGTAAATATTTACTGAGTGCCACTGTGTGCCACAACCTGTGTGCAGCCATGGGGATACCTTGGTGACTAAGACAGGCCCATCTCTGCCGTCACAGAGCTGACAAAGAGACAGCCACACAAACACCAAAGTGCAACGAAGGATGATTCAGGGTGGGGGGGCACATCGCAGGGCTGCTGGCTCAGTTTAGAGGGGTGGGAGCTCAAGCAAGGATCACAGAAAGGCGAAGAGGAATCGGTCAGGCAAAGGAGAGGTGCATGGCACTGGGGAGGGTGAGGGGGAATGTGTCAGAGGCAGAGAGAATGGCGTGTGCCAAGTGAAGGCCCGAGGAGGCACGA